GAAATTTTTGTATAAAAAGGGAGGATTGCCACGCAAGCAACCAATGAAATTTGTGGTGTTAAGCGGAGACGTTGCTGTGTCAGTTCGTGTAGCGCAGCAATGGTTCGCTCGCTTCCATTCTGGAAAGTTCGATGTGAAAGTTGCATGTCGAAGTTTTTCCCCGAGAAACCAGAAAAGTCTTACATTGATGGAGTAATGCGACTAAAATGGTACATATTTGGTTCATTAAAGTTCATTATCAAATGTATAAAAATAAGATTAAGTTTTGATTAGAAATACGAAAAGTTTTTTTTCACTTTTACTTCAAAACGGCTGAAAGTTTACTTTCAAGTGGAAAATCAAGTTTTCAAAATGTAAACAGTAAAATTTTTGACGTATAAAGTACTATGTATTTGATTGCCATGGTTCCGGCCTTCTCCGTGGATGAATCCTAAAAAGGAGTAATTCCTCGTTTAACTTGAAGTTGTGCCAGTCCTTTTTCCATATTATTCATTTTTAATACTTGTGCTCCTATAGGAGTGGATATTTGAAAACTTAATTTACTTAGTAGTTTTAAAGATTGGATAATTCATTCAAAAGCAATTTCGAAAAAAGTTTTCTAACAAGCGCCAAGGTGTTTCATCAGACAGCCCCTCTACCTACCTAGAACTACACTTCAGCAAAATGGTTTTGCAGAAAGAAAATATATGCAAATTTTTGAAATAAAATGTAGGTCTTAATGCTGCATTTTATAGGCTTCTTAACTCATATTTAAATTTTTTTTATTTACTATTTGCGCATATAATTCTTATTTTCTAATTTTTGTGTTTTATTAAATTTGATTTCGAATTTTTTCTTGCATACCATTTTAACCTCTGCTCTTTTAAGGCAAGCTTAATAAATAAAAATTATAATAACCTCAGAAGTGCTCTAAATGCCGCACCCGCTATCTCGCCATGAATAACTCAATTCACAGCACCTCAAGGGCAACGGTTCTTTCAGTTTTTCTAACGCAGAATTGCACTTTCTATGAAAATTATGTCACGTGAAAAAGTTGTGCGGCTGCTGAATGGCACAGCAGAAAAAGCGCAAAAATCGCTAACAACAATTTTCCACATTTCAACAATCAGCAATTCAACCGCAGCTCAACCCAACATGAAATACCAATAAAAAACAAATACGGACCACGCGGAGCGAATTTTGTATAAATAAGTATGTGTGTGTGTGTGCGAGTAATAAGCAACCGCAGCGACAGCAAAAATCACAGCCGCGTAAAAACCAAATAAGGTGTGGAAAATCTAACGGTTTTCACGTTTTTCTACTAACCAATTTAAAAAAAAAAAATTAATTTGCACAACTTTTTCGATATCGAATTCCATAATTATAAATTCAAATAGAAACTATTTGCTTAATCCGCCTGCCAAGCTTGCTGCATGACTAAAGCAGCTTAACCGTTAAGTCGTGTGATCAGCAAATAAAAAAAATAATAAAAAATAATAAAAAAAAAGTAAATAAATTTAAAAAATTAAAGCCAACGTTAATTGCTTGTCATAATGAGCGACTTGAGTGCCCTATGGTATTTCTTCACGCACAAATGTAAATGAATAATTTCATAGAAAGTATTTTTGAAAGCTATTTTATTTTCGCACGGTCTAAATTCATACTTAATTTTATATAAACATAATTTTTGCACTACAAACTATTGACTCTGATTTAATTGAGTTAAAAAATATTCGCAATTTAAGAAAATTATTGGAAAATATTTTTACGAAATTTATATTATTAAATGATGTGATGAAGCTAATTAGCCGTGACTTTACTATTATTACCAATTAAGGAAATATTGACAATTTTTTCAAATACTTTTATTTGTTTTTTAGACGCGTGTGTACTTCCGTGAGGTAATACCTTTTCGGAGTGGTTCTTTTTGGCACCGTTGCTTGATTTATACCCAGCTTGGGCTTCCATTATGTAATGAAGAAAATGCAAATAGTGAAAATTTGTAAAAAAAAAATAATGGTTCGGATCGTGCGACGCTATTCACGAATTCTGTTCACCAATGAAGCTCACCTTTGAAAGAATGGGTGCGTGAATAAACAAGTTTGACGCATTTGGAGTGCCGATAATTCAAAAGCCATCGTTGAGACGCCATTACATCCACAACTTTTCATTGTAATCTACGATCAGAGGGAATTATTGGTCCATATCCCTTCAAAAATGAAGCCGTAAAGTTAAGGCTAGTGGGGAACTTTATAGATCCCTGATTAACGACTTTCGCAACATGTATGCCCTTTGGTTAAGACTAGTTGCCGCTGCATGTCATGTCTGCAGTCACTTTATTGAGGAAAATTATGGCAGTGGTGCCACCTAACTCAGTTTGATAGTCAAACGAATCACTTAAATTTGGTTTCCTAGATTGGCACAATCTTCTTTTACGTTCATGTGAAGTTTAATATTCATAAGTCAGTTAGTGTGTGTTTGAGGTATGTACATAGGTATAGTGATAGCGATATAAACTGGGTTAGTTCGCCGATAAAACAGCGCTTGGCCGGATAAAATCCGGGTTAATTCCGGTACGTAGAACCGGCTGTTGAGGGAATTGAAATTTTAGTGGTCAGCATGTGCGGTAAATATTCCATTCATGCCACATTTGGCCATTGTTGAGCAAGTCAGAGCTAGATTCCAACGAGACTAAGCTATATTTAGTTATAATATGTTCCCGCCTTATGCAGTCCAGTTGTAGGGTGGTATCTGCTCTGGCTAGTTCACCGGCTTCACAGTTATCAACAACATCACTATTTCCTGAAGCACATTGCTGAATTATTGTGAAATTTGATGTTAAATCCTTTAAGAGATCAAGCCATACTTTCATTATCTTAACTTTAGTGGTTTAAAAGTCGTTTAGCTATGTGTGTACATAACTGTATTCCCTGTTGTAAGCACACTCTGTTTCAGCACAAGAAGACGGTCTTTGATTGCGCAGATCTTCATTTGGAAGGCATTGCAGTAGTCTAATTTTGCTGAAAGCACACTACCTCCCACTCGTTTAACTTATCCGACTTTCTCACTCTTGGTAGTATTCGAGACTGAATTTAAGTTTAATTCTGTTCGTCCGAGTTTGTCTCAAATCATATGTTTCCACAGGAATCACGGTCGCAGAATCATTCAAAATATGAAGCGTGCCATTGACGCTGTCATCAACTAAAAGCTCAGAATCGTTTGCAAAAATATCATGTTGAAGACGCAGCATCTTCACCATCCAGAAAACAGCCATCACTAGTGAATAGACGTGGTTTTATAAATAAGATGTCTAAAGTGGTCATTAATATATGCCTCTTAAAAATGGGCTAAAACCCATTTAAATTATTCTCTATCAGTTTGAGTAAACATTTTTGGTAATTACTATAACAGTCTATGAAGGATAAATGTGATTTACCTATGTCGGAGATACTTTGGTAAGCGCGTGTGTCACTTCGGCATTTCTTAGTACCATCGAGATTTTATGTTTCCATGAATTTGTCGTGATATTAAGAATCAATGCCACGAAAAACTGTCAGCGAGCAGGACCCGAAAGTAATAATGAAAGTATTTCCGGTTTATTTGATTTTTAAACAACAATTAATATTAACACATTTTAATAGTTCTAACTTTAAGTTAAATCCGAGCAATTAAAGTATAAACTCAGCTATATTACAAAAAGCAATATTTCGACCATAGAAAATTGTAGAAAAAATTTCATTCATATACATATATGTAAGTGTATACACATGTATATATTGGGTAGTCGAAAAAGTGTTTTCGTATTTCTAACCAAACTTCAACTTATTTTTTTTTTTATAATAATAAATATGTATCACATTTTGCATTTTTCGGGTAGAGACATTATTCCACCAGTGTAAAGCTCTCGTCTGTGTAAATCAAAATTTTGAAATTCCTTGAATGGAAGCGAGCGAACCATTATTGTGCTACACGAACTGATACAGCATCGTAAATTTCACAAACTTCATTGGTGGACTGCGTGGCATTCTTCCGTTTTTTATACAAAAATATCAAAATATTAAGAATTTCTTCATTATTTTCACTCATCTTTGAACACTTGTAACTTTTTTCAACATCTCCGATTTTTTTTTTTTTTTGTTTTTTTTTTTTTTGTTAAATGAAGTCTTGCCAGCACTATCTAGTATGACACAATATAATCCCTAATGCTTGATATCAAAGGAGGCGTATTCTGATTTACAACTAGGCGTAACTAGTGTGTCCATATACTAGGCAATTTGTACAATTAAAATAAACTAGTCAAAAACAGACTCTTTCTGAAAGTTTAACAGACATTTGAATCGCTACTAATTTTTAGCTTAATTGGAATTCACTCAAAAAATTAGACATAGATGGAAAAAACGAAATATTTGGATTGGCAAAGCACATTTGGAATTATTAACAAATAAAAAATAAAATTGTGTACATTTGTCGTTGCCTCACCAAAGCGCTTTCTTGCCGAGAGCTGAATTTATTGAGGGAATGTCGCGCCTTGTTTTGTTAGCGGCCTGACATTGCGTAACTCTCGCAAATTAATAATTCTTGCGCAACTAATTCGAATTCTTTGTTAAATTGAAAAATTCCAAGCGAAACGAATTCGCAGTCAAACAAAACAAACGAAAACTTTCGCTGTGGCCTTCACACCTTCACACCTACACACATACACGCACTGAAACCTCCAAACACATAACTTTTGCTGTAATTGACGTAACGGAGCGCGCAAAGTCTGCGCGGGAGGTGAATAAGAAGTGATTGAGGCAATGCAGTTCACCAGAGCGACAGCCAGCTTTTGTCGTTACGCAAATTCAAATTAAAACATTGTCAAACACACAGCCAAGAATGAAAAACGCAAATTAGATCGCACACAGACACACTGACACACTCACCGACGCGCACCACTGAGGTGACGCATATGATTGTGGAGGACGAAGGTGTTTCAGAGTCCAATTAAATTAAAGTATTCAACAATGCTTTTGCCAACTCACCTTGTATAGCTGCCAAGAGAAGCAGTAGCTGCAGACCGGAGCTGAACACGCCACCCATGCGCAGCGCACTCGAAGAACTCATTGTGCCGCGCGACGCTATGCGGCGAACGCGTATGTATGTGTGTGTGTGTGGAAGATTTGATTTGATGCTAATTGCAGTTCCACCTTGCCACACTTGGCCGCTTCCGCTGAGACACTGCCACTATCAAGGCTCCTGCTTAATTGCAATGAATTAATAGGCGCCGCACGAGTAGGCGTCCAAGCGTTGCCGCGTTGTTTCCGTTGATTATTCGTTGCCGTTAAACGGTTGGCAGGGCGTCTCAGTAAATTGAAAAAGCACGCGCGCGCACAACAACACGCGCGCCGCTTATGCCAGCCTTAATTCACGTCCCCAAATAGTCTTTAGCACCGCGAGCAAGTATTTCAAGCGTATCCCCTAGGGCTAGCCACCACCCCACTTTCGGTGTACCGATTTTTCAATTCCGCTCTAATACTTGTGCACATTTCCGACAATCATAACAATGTTTCCCCTCCAACAGCCGCGCCACCGCTAATATGATGACTCGACGCGATGGTCACAATTTCCGATTTTACAAAAACAACAAAAAAAATGCCAACATCAAATCTGACAGCGGCAACAGTCACAGTGGCTTACACGGGGTGCGGGGGTTGCGCCAAAAAATGCCAACTAAAGATTTCATCAAATTAGTGCCAGTGAAATACCAGAAAAATGGTCTTTTTAAAAAACACTCACGGGACTAATAACCCAAAATGCTTTTCCTTTTTCTCACTTTCTCGCTTTTCCTAAATGTTTTCTCTGCTCACTTTATTYGTTTTGTTCGCTTTGTGCGCTTTGTTGGGTCGAGCGAATTGCTAGCTGGCTGGCGACCAAGTGGAGACGCGGTGGGCAGTCAAGCAGACAGCCAGGCGGGCGGACGTAAGCTTGAATTGTAGACTGTTTGGCTGGTCGGTAGCACTCCCACTCCCCACTCACTCGCCGTTTCTCAGCAGCCGCGCGATTCGTTGCCTACCTCCGGGCGCGCAGTAAACACTTAACTCGACTTCAAGCGCTCGCCGCTTTCGCTGCCGCCATTGAGTGCCTGGTGTAGGTGTAATTTTTGCTTTTGCTACTGTTGACGAGATTTCGCTCTTTCGCAGTTTTTTGCAACTTCTCCCCGTGGCTGCTGCTTCTTCCCTGTGTATTTTTTGCACTTCTTGCTCACAAACAGGGAATTGTTCTTTTAATGGCGGTTTAACCGCGTTTCAGCGCGTTACAGTGTTTACGCGACAATCTATAAATGGGTCAAATTGAATTTCTTTTAGTATTTACGGATTTTTCTGCGCTTTCTTGGCCCACGTTTATAACTCTGTTAAAGAAGTAGCTTTAACAGCTGATTGTTTTACAAAACAAACTCTTTACATTCACTAAGTTGCTTAGTTTTCTTTTCTTAATACCCCTTGGGCAGTTTCAGAACAATAGTTGTTGTTGTGGTGCATTATATGCTAATCTTCATTGCACATTGTTACAACACCTTCACGTTCAGTATGGTCATCCATCAACATGACACAGCATACATTATCTTCATGAACACTTATTAGAGCAATTAATTTCACTTTCTGTTTTTCCACTTGCTTCGTGTTTGCGCTCCTTAACGCATCGCCGCCTCAAAATGCAAATTATACAATTTATATCCTTTAATAATTTCACTCTCTCAGTATTTGCCACACTTTTCACAACTTGCTTTAAAACTCTCACTTGTTATTGCATACTTTTCAGCGCGAACACTTAATGTGTGCAGAGCAGTGCCGTCAATATCAATTAAAACCACTTCTAATGCATTCAATAGCAAATAATATTCAACATTAGTTTGGCAAAACTGCTCAACTTCAAATTTTGATTGTCTACTTTTGCTCTGCACACGACTTTGGCTGTCAGTTATGCTGTTGGGTGCCTAAAAATATGCCACACCATTTATAACACCTAGTTATTTCAGATAATATTTCACTTCGAGCATAAATGGCACTCAATTTATATCAATGTCGCGAGCAACCTGCTCTACTTTTTACTTTGCTTGCATAAAATTTTGACTTTCACTGTTCCTTACTTTCTAATTTTTTTTTCTTTTTTTTTGTATTTCCTTCGCTATTTCACCTGCCAACACTGCTGATGACTAGAATCTCATTTATTTACTTCAGCTGTGCAGTCATGCCGAGGCAACACTGCCTTGGCGAAATCATGCCTAGATGTCATTTATCTTATTGCGCCTACTTGTAGGCAACAGCATTTAACGCCCCAAAGTTGCAGCAGCACCACAGCTCGTATAAGCTACTTTTTTAAGTCCCACTAACACACAATCCCAGCCGTTGAGCAAGCACCAGATTTTGAGTTATGCTTGGACCACAAGTATGTTGCCTGCATGCTTTTGGGCTGTCACTACACGGACTCTACGTTAATGCCGAACAATATTATTTTATAAAATCACAACTTCACTTGCAACAATTAACGCACCGATTATTGCTGTTACTTATGTTATTTAATTTTTTGCTTTTTTGAAACAAAATTAATATCGCTTGCATTTGCTTTCGCCACGAACGCGCGTATGCGTGCAACACACTCGACACACAGCATGAAACTACTGACTGGCTACCAGTTCCAACTGCGCCCATAGCTGACAGCCTGTCGCAGCACAGCACAGCCGCTGCTTCGTGGCAAATCTGTGCGAGCGCATTGCCGCAGACGCGAGAGGGGCGCCAGAAAAACGAGTACACGAGCCGTGTATGATTCGTGCGACTTTGATGGCAAACGAAGTGAATACATGTCAACAACGAGTAACCACTTCGAATGGCTTTAGTTCGCAAATGAGCAAAGAGCGCAAAAGAAGAGCGTAAAGAGTAGTAAGTTCGAAAACATACAACAACAACGAACACATAMCGGTGTACATTTCATAAATTATTTCTTGAAATTGAGGAAACCGGAAATGTAGTTTACAGTTAAAGAGTTATTCAGAAATCTTGTCGTAAGTTTTGCAGCGAAAGTTGGCGCCGTATTTGAAAACTTAACAGCTTAGCTTAGAAGCTTTCATTCAATACGAAGGTTAATTTTTAGACGTGGAAAAATATTAGAAATTTATGCTCGTATAGATTTTAACAGTCATAGGTCAGTTAAGAAGCATTCGAATTTTTTTTCGAACTTCTGAAAAACAAACTTCTCTTATAATGGCATTTAGTGTCGGAAATTTTTCGCATGCGAGTATTTTCTCTCTTTCATAGTCATCACATAGGTTTGAAATAACTCACCACACCTGGCCAAAGAGAAATAATCCCTCAATTTTGCATAAAACTTTACTCAAAATACCCAAATTAAGGATAATCACTTAAGAATTAGTATGAGGATGTTACAAATATGTTATAAGTACAAATAAATAATTTATCATTATAGAATAAATACAGGCTTTGTCCGGAAAGTAGTAGGACTGAGTCGAATTAAAAGCATTTATTGAATTTGCATTTCCAAGTAGGCTAATTTCCAAGCATTGAAGGCGTCACGGAAGTCATTCTCCGGAATAGCTTTAAGAGCCGAGGTGCATGCTGCTTGAATCTCCTCTGTCATCTCAAAATGCTTGCTTTTATCGGACCTTTCATGCAAGGAAGCCAAAAAATACTCATAAATCGACAAAGCGCTTTGAGCGCGGCTAATGTTGAGGCGGCTAATGTTAGTTTCGACTATGAGGAAGTATCTGGATCGCTTTATCCCCTGCACCCAAGCTTCACAACATGCGTCTGTCAAGATGTTTAGCCTTACAGCCTCAATGCCTATTCGACAATATCTAGTAAGAGCGTTTACTGATACGGCAAGACAGAATTTGCTTATGGCAACTAGTTCAGAAAGGATCTTTCAGTCGCCCAATAGGATCCATAATTTTTTATTATAGTATATATTTATGCCTCCAAGTACAAGAATTTAGTGATTGTTAAAGTCTCAGCTCACGCTAAACAAGTCGAGCAATGGAATAACCTCTTCTTCTTCTTTACTAGCGTAGACAATAAAATAACCTAATTGATATAAATAATTGTAATACAGAGTAAAGTGTGCATTAATTCACTTCTACACACACTCGTAAGTAAACACTTGTATTTTCATACACACCCACACCCACACGCACGCAAACATTTATAACAGCGCAAGACTTGCTGTTACTTTGCGTTTTTTTTTTTTTTTTTTTTGGCTCTTGCGATTGCACTGCAAGTGAAAGTTTTTAATTGAGGCAATTTGTTTGAGGCGATAAATGTGCTAGTTACTTATTCCCCACCCTAATAGGGTTTCTTGTTAAGTACACCAACAAAGTACAACATAACACGGCGAAGTTTAGAATTTTCTCGCACAAGTAAGTTTTGCGAGTAGTTTATTAGTATTCTTTCACTTTGCTACCTGAAGAAGTCTTCGCCGCCATTTTTGCTCATACTTTCCTCCCATATCATTTGTTACATTTAGTTTGGGTCCTTCTTTTTGTCAACTATTTACCTACTTAAGTTGCAAGTTGAATGCGTACATGTCACACACACACATACCTAGTAAAACATACCGGTTTGGCATGGCATGTTACTTTCTAAGAACATCTTCATTATGAACTTATTATTAAATGGTGCTGCGACAGAAAGGGCTGAAAAGAGACAACAGTTCCTCGAACTTTTTTATTGTTAGAGGAAGAGACTGAGTTGTAATAAATGTGTTGTACTATATATACACCGCCAAGATAAGTAAAGTCATTGAATTCAACAGTCCTTCAAAATTTGCAACTTCAAGTGAATTTTCCTTAAAGGGACTATAAGGAAACCAAAATACAAGTTTCGCTTGTATCATCGATAAAAATCCAAACAAGTTGGAACATAATTTTGATATCGAGTACTTTTTAAAAAAGACGTGAGCGCTGATCCCGTCAGTTGTTCAAAAAGAACGTCAGACAGCAGATCGTCTGTCAGACTTAAGTCGGTTGTCAACTCTGAAACGGACATTAAAAAGCAGCTGTCAAACAGATGTCAAGTGGACGTCATATAGCAACTGTTAAATGGTC